CCAGAACATCCCCCTGCCACCCCCCACGGAACTATTCCCCAGGCTGGAGAAAGAATTCATTAGATTTATCTGGAAGAACAAGCGGGCAAGACTTAGACTCTCCTTATTGTATCTACCCTATGAGAGAGGGGGGCTGAAATGCCCCAACTTAAAATGGTATTACTGGGCCGCACAGTTAAGGACTATTACATACTGCTTTTCAGCCACAAACCCCACACACTGGGCGGAATTAGAATCACAAGATCTAAAGTTGCCATTCTTCTTGTATGTGTACTCTGACTCACAAAAGAAATTATTAAAACCTATAAAGAATCCGATAGTTAAAAATATGATAAAAGTTTGGTTCTCAGTGAAAAAGCATCTTACAGAAGAACAAGAATTGTCTTGTTTCAGTCCCATATGGGGTAACCAGCAATTTACACCAGGAAGAGCTGATGCCGTGTTTAAAAGCTGGTATTTACAGGGAATTAAATCAGTTAAGGACTTATATTTGCAAAATTCTGATCATTTGATGTCCTTTGAGCAGTTAAGGGCTAAATATGGAATAGAAAGGAAATATTTTTTTAAATACCTCCAGCTCAGAAGTTTTCTAAAGTCTAAGCAAAAAAATGGGGACTCCAAACCCTCCATCACCATGTTGGAAGAAATGATGACAAAGGACTTCACACGAAGAGGAATAGTCTCGGACTGTTATCGGATAATCGTGGAACATCATTCAGATGGAGCGAACGATAGAAGAGCAGCATGGCAAGACGACCTCAGACAAGAACTGAGTAAAGAGGACTGGGAGAAGGCCTGTGGAGGAGCTCATACCAAGTTCATTAATGCCAGGTTAAGATTAATTCAGCATAAATATTTAATGCGGACATATGTCACCCCAGAGAGACTGAAGAAATACAATAGCAATATACCAGATACATGTGTTAAATGTGCTGTTCATAAAGGGACGTTGTATCATTGTGTTTGGGAGTGTACAGAAATCAAAAAGTTCTGGGAGGATGTAAGAATTTCTACTGAAAAAATTATCAAAAAGGAGGTACCATTGGATGCTAAATTGTTTCTAATAGGACTTTGCCCTAATGAGTATGCTTATAGCAAGTGTCAGCGTGTCTTTTTGGATCTTAGTTTAATGGTAGCAAAAAAGTGTATAGCTATGGCATGGAAATCGCTCCATAGACCCACTGTGAAGGATTGGATGAAACAGATGTTACAGGTGATGCCGCTGGAACGGATTACCTATATCTTAAAGGCCAAGCAACATTTATTTGACGAAATATGGACACCTTTTCTAACATATATTAAGAGGATGGACATAAAAAGCTAAGGACTTATAAAGTGGGAGAGTAGGAAAATAATCGGTCTTCTGACCAGCATTTAGATTGTAATGGGAGAAGCAAAAGTAAGGTGTAATTCGGGGACTTCTTACTCAAAGTTTTATTAAACATGTCTATGTGAATATTGCCTTCAATACTATAAATGCACTAACGTTGGAAAGGATCGCCAGAAGCACAACCAAAATTGTTAAAATGTTCTGTTGTTCTGTTGTTCCATTAAGATTTTATACAGAATGTACTTTCAGTATACAACATAATAATGTGTGAAAGGTGTACAGTAAACTGAAAATGCAATAAAATATACTTTTTGAAAAAAAAAAAGAATGTTCTGGTATCAACTTAGAGAAGATCTTAAAACTTCAACTCTGTTGCTTCATCTGACTGGAATATGAAATCACCAGGACACTAACAGACGATCAGGGATGAAAAACGGAGCTAATCGACCTCTTATTTAAATTTCTATATGTTGAGTGACGAATTTTGATCTTTTGGACCAAAGGGTGAGTCGACAGGCGTTCTCTTCTGGTCTAAACATGATCAGAATCACTAACTCATATCTACAACCTAAATTATAATGTTTGTTACATGAAATGATATTAACTTACTGCCAATAGGTCTTTCTCTTTCTGAGAACGTTTCTCTGAGCAGCACCGCGTCCCATACATGTCTGCGAGTTATTGGTGTTTCATCCAATCAGGTTTAGTCTGAGTTGGCAGGGGGACGCTAATCTGCCCAGAGCCTTCGGTTGTTATACTGTATTGCTGAGGGAGCTGGTTTCTTTTGAGCGGGCGACGGTGGCACAGGAGTTAAATGCTCGCCCCGTAATCAGAAGGTTGCAGGTTCGAGCCCTGCTCAGTCTGTCGCTGTTGTGTCCTTGGGCAAGACACTTAACCCCCCTTGCCTGCTGGTGGTGGTCGGAGGGACCGGCGGCGCCTCTGTCAGTGTGACCCACGGCAGCTGTGGCTACAATGTAGCTCATCACCATCAGAGAATGGGTGAATGACTGTGTTGTAAAGTGTTTTGGGGGGTTCCAGGACTCTAGAAGGAGCTATATCAAAGACAGGCCATTTACCACTTAACCAATCAGCTTTCAGATACACATATAGACAGCACAGACACCAACCTTTGGATCAGGATCCGGACAAACATCATTTCTGTCTAAACACAGAAGCAATAAGGATGTCGTTGTGCTTTTAGAAGGTTATTTTTAAAACGTTGACACCACGCAGCTAAACACAGCTGACCAACATATTCAGTATAAATAGCAGACCCAAGTCTGCCCGCCTGGCTGTAGTGAGAAGAACCACTCTGGCTTCTCCACAGACGTGTTCTGGTTAGGTCTGATGTTGGACCTCGGCCTTGAACTCCTGACAAACCACAGCAACCAGACCGGCGGGCTGCTGCAGTTTCTCTGTTCTTTATTCATTAGAGTACGACTTCAGCCAGCAGAAGAAAACGCTTTTCCTTTAAATGGTTTGACCCGTTTATTATTGCCTATCGAAACGGGAAGGTGAGCCGCAGTGTGTGTGTGTGTGTGTGTGTGTGTGTGTGCGTGCATGCGTGCGTGCGTGCGTGTGTGTGTGTGTGTGTGTGTGTGTGTGTGTGTGTGAAGATGGCCACCAAAACCTCAGAAGCACAGAAATGGCTGTGTGTGACTCAATCAGTTTTACAGGCATTGAGCCTAAACCATCACATGGCAGCAGCGGAGTCATCTAGATGTGAATTTTCAAGTTTTGAGGGACAACTTCGTCTTTTATCTCAGCGCTCTCCAGTCCTGGTCCTGGAGGCCTCTCGCAACAGTAGTCCAGGATTCATGGCAGGGGTATTCAATTCCAGGCCTGGAGGGCCGGTATCCCACACATTTTACTTTTAACCTACTTCAACACACCTGATTTCAATCAGCAGGTAATTAACTGGCTTCTGCAGATCCTGATGAGCTGCAGCACAGGTGATTCAACCACTGAATCAAGTGTGTTGGAGCAATTTTAGAAATATTGCTATTCAATCTTTTCCTAAAGTCGTTCAGCCCCAGAACATTCTGCTCAGTCTGCAGCTATTTGCCAGACTCTGAAGATAAGAGACCTGAAAAAGGCCACAGGCAGCGAGAGGAAACACTCAGGAGAAACCCAACCAATCAGAGACCGAGTCTGTGACATCACATTTTCACTTGGAACTGAAAAGGGGATGGCGACCTGGTACCCGTTAGAAGTGGAAATGGCTCAGAAATACCTTAAGGCGACTTTTCTAAGTACTCCAGTAGCATTCGGTGCTGGTTGGTAAGCACCGGTTAGTTTTCCGCTTCCTGCACCGCTCTGATCTGCTGATCCTGATCAAACTTCACTTACTTTGATGAATATTTTATCGTTAGGGTGATTGTTTCACTTCCCTTTCTCATGAATGTTATGCAAATGGAAATTTCTGCTAAAACTTTTGAGAACTTTCTTTAAAATTCCAAACCCTGAAAATATTCCATGAATATTCAGGCTTTTTAAGGATTTCCAGCACCTGTAAGAACGCTGCTACAGGCAGCGAGTCCCACCCCCACTGATGGACACGCTGACTCCTAAAAACAACGTGGCTGTTTCGTTCCTCACCCTCCCGGTTTTCGTCTGAATTTGCTGTCAGAAAATGAGTCTAATAAATCATTTTGGACGGCTCCAAGCAGCAGGCAGCGCTTAAGTCTTTATGCCATTCCCACTGGAAGTGCAGCTTGAACAGATCCCTCCGGGTCCCGGGGCTATCGGAGCAGATGTGACGGCTCCCGGGTTCCCGGTCGGATCGTGTGAATGAATTAATAACCTAAGTTTTACATTGAACATAAAGCCACTAACAAACAAAAACTAAGATTCTTCCTTAGGAATCACAACTTATTTGTTTGATTTCTTCAGAGTAATAGCAACATAAAATCTGATGTAAGAAAGATATAATAAATCATTTAATCCATCTTGCTTGTCAAAGTCAAATCCAATCTGGACTGAACAGAGATGAGATTTATTAAACTAAAAAGCTCAGATTATACTTAATGAACCCAGTTTGGATGTTTTTCTGACATGAATGTGTTTTTTTGCCAGATTACTGCATATATTATGGTTGATTCAGCCGTATTCTGGGGTTTTAGCTGTACTCAGATTACTTAAAATGTGATTGATGAAGAAAGTTACCTGCCATCTTCCTGGATGATTTGTGTGAAACGGGAAGTTGGGTTTCCAGTAAAAGTCTTTGAAGTTGATTAAAGTAGAAACTAAAGGATGTCTGATCTGTTGGAGCAGCAGTTCATCAAGTTTTAATCTCTGTAGTCTCGCATATAAATGAAGATGATCCAATTTAAAAGAGAGGAAAAGTCTTCATCCTGAAAAAGTCTGAATTATTAAGCTGTTTATTACATTCTAGGTGAGTAATAGTGTGTAATTTATCCTGTTTCATTTGAACCAGTATTAATAGAAATATTCACTCAGCATTGGCTTATCCAGCGAGCGAGCAGCAGGGACTTCAGCCAGAGTAATCGTGTGAAACAGACTGAACAGGCTATTCCTGCAAACTAAATATTTTAATGTATTATTTTATTAATTATTGTCACATTTTAAACTTCTGAACCATCTTCAGTTTTGAATTAAACAGACCCGAGTTCTGGATTAGTCAGATAAAAGATCCATCAGATTTACTCACCGTGGACGGGGTTGTGTCCCACGGCGAGGGGGATCGGCCGCTCCGGCAGGGCCTGGACGTGCGTTTGTGTGTGTGTGTGGTAGTATTTGGGCTTTATGACATACTGCTGTCCAGGATGCATCGGCACGGTCCGAATC